AAAATGTTTTAGCTGGTTCTGGGAGAACATAGGGGATAACCCATTTTATGATGAGCAAGCACTTTTAAAACACAAATAGCTTGCCCAGTTTCAGGTTCGAAAGTTTGAAGTCAATGGAGAATTTTAAAGTGAGAAAAATTTAAAGAGAAACACACTGAATAACACTCTCTCTCTCTCTCAAACACACACAAACACACACACACACACTCTACAATTGCAATAGGAAATATCAGCAGTACAGTAACTCCTCACTTAAAGTCGTCCAGGTTAACATTGTTACATTACTGATCAATTAGAGAACATGCTCATTTAAAGTTGCGCAAAGCTCCCTTATAATGTTGTTTGGCAGCCGCCTGCTTTGTCCGCTGCTTGCAGAAAGAGCAGCCTTTGGAGCTAGCTGGTGGGGGCTTGGAACCGGGTGGACCAGCAGCCCCCCTATCAGCTCCCTGCTCTCCTAAGTTCCCTGTGTGGCAGCTGCCCAGGAGGCTACCAATTGCTGGCAGTTCACCTGTCCCTCCCCCCACTGCCTTGTACTGCTCCTGCCCTCTGCCTTGAAGCTGCTCCCCGGAGCCTCCTGCTTGCTGGGGGGGGGGGAGGGGAAGAGGGGTGCTAATGTCAGGGTGTCCCTCTCCCCCCTGCTACTCCCCTTCCTGTAACTTATCTCCACAGAGAATGGGGGCGGGGCATGAGAGGGCTCAGGACAGAGGGAGCTTACTGGCAGCAGCTGCTATCTCAACTTGCTGATCTACTTAAAAAGGCAGTGTACTTAGAGTGAGATCAGCGTACTTAAAGGGGCAATGCGCGTCTCTCTCTCACACACACCCTGTGTGTATCTTCTCTCTCTGCCATGCTGTCTCCCCTCCCTCCATTCATGCTACCTTGTAGAGTGTGAGGCTAAATTAACAACAATGTGTTAAACCTTGAGGGCTCAGCCGAGTGCTAGTTCATCATTTAGCAGTAAGGCATTCCATAGGAAATATCCAACCCTCTGACTCCACCACCTCAACCGAGCTTCACAATCATCATTGCTGCGTACAGTTTTTTGTTTAAAACTTATACTGTGTGTATGTGTGTGTGTGTGTTCATATATATATAGTCTTTTGTCTGGCAAAAAACAATTCCCTAGAACCTAAGCCTCTCCCATTTACATTAATTCTTATGGAGAAATTGGATTCACTTAACATAGTTTTGCTTAAAGTAGCATTTTTCAAGAACATGGCTACAACATTAAGAGAGGAGTTACCATATCCTCCATTTATACTGTGTAGTATTTTTTCATCTATAGTGTTAGAAGTCATGTGTCTTGTATGCAGGGATATCATTTATTTGCAGGCTTTGCTGTGGTGTACATCACTAGTATCTGAGCATTCCCCAGCCATTAATGAATTTATCTTCTCTGAATCTCTGAGGGGAGGGTAAACCTTCAGTCCTCATTTTACAGAAGAGAAACTGAGGCACAGAGAGGTTGAAGTCAAGACTTTCAAAAACTTGTGTAGGTGCAAATAGTCAATTTGGGTGCCCATCGACAGGCCCAAGTGGGAGCTGGGTTCTCAGGTGATTTTGCATAGCCGGTATATGGCTGCTGATATGTGCTGTTATGGTTTGTTCTGCAGTCTGTGCACCCTGAAAACAAACAGCATAGTGCAGGGTAAAGCCCCTCCAGCCAAATACACACATCTGAGATGGTGACAGGATTATAGTGTTAGTATAGAGGAGGAGAGGCACAGGGATTAGGCTTTGGGCTAGATGAGGTGAGGGAGGGCGGAGTGAACTATGGGATGCAGACTGGGGCTGGGATGAAAAGGGAATTTAACAATGCCAGGATGGAGAGCTGCAGTTCACAATCTGACCATATTGGGTCTGTACATCATGAAGTGACTCAAGGGAATGAAGCAGTGGGCAAGGGATGATAGATGCTCTTGTTCACAGAAGAAGGCACCCTTGCCCTCTTAATCAATCTTTGCACACTGGAGGAATTTCTTCAATCATCACCTCTTGCTGAAATGCATCTACTTCTTGAAGAGAATGCACACACATTGAGCAACAACTCTTCAGGGTGGTGTAGGACTCAAGCAAAGAATACCATATCTATACCCTATTGCAGGGAACATTTTAGCGACAGGCAGAATGTAATTCCTCAGTGTGTAATATGCCCAAGACACCTGGTGCTGATGAATTTTTCTTGCCAAAATCCTCAGAGAGGTGAGGATCTTTAAATGACCACAAGTTGTCTGTCACTGGCTCAGAAGAAGAAAAGCATCACTATAATGCCCCCAAATATACGAAAAACCTAGGCAGGGTACTTTATAACTTTATTACAACACAATTTCAAAGTGTAGGGTTAAAGCAGTTTTTTACTTGGTTTAAATATTTGCAGGGTAAATTTGGGTGGCCAAATTGTGGTTAAACCAAGTTAACAGGTTTGACTAACTCTGTTCCTGGCTCACGATTTACTGGGTCTAAGTATTTGACAGTTGAATGATCCCAGCTACCTATTAGAAAGACATACATTCAGTGGAGGTTGTCCTTGCTGCAGAACTACCAAGCAGTGGTAAGTCATTAAGTATGCTGTATATCTGTTACTGGAGGATTTTGAGAGTTGGTGGACTACCTCTCACTGTAGACGTCGCGTGGTCTGTGCCATCCTTTGTACTCGAGGAGCCTCCAAGGAAATACAAAAGGCTGAAAGAAGCAGTGTTAGCAATAGGTGTCAGATTTTGGATTAGGTATTAAGCTAGAGTTTAGTGGCTTTATCACCCCCTCTTGCTAATGGGGAAATATATTGGAAAAAAAATCTGTCCTTAAAAATCTGTTTAATCTGGACCTGCAAACACTAAAATACCTAACCATCATTGTATGATTATTATCAGGGGTCACTAAAAGTTGCAATTAAGGTTGTTTGGGTGCCTTGGCTGAACATTTCCACACCTTAACATGGTTGTATTTATTTTAAGTTCTACCATCACAAATCCAGGAATTTCAATGAATGCTTGGTTTGGGGATAATTACAACATCTCTGCAATGTTTTTTACCCTGAAGTTATGGCTAGGTACTTCCACCCTTGACTCTTAGTGTAGTTTGTCTTGGATTTAGAAGGAAATTATTGTTGTCAAGACTTTCCCTTCACCTCACTTGGTCCCTGAAGTAGAAACCTTTTAAACCTTTTAATGGTTATGTATGATAAATGGAGAAATGACTATGTTCACGCCTACCTTCACAAAGGTGTACGTAAGCAATCACCTGACCAATTTCCCCTCTCTAGTGGTTTAGCATGAAGAGTATAATGGTAGAAAGATTCTTCCAATATATTTCAATTTGGGGTGAGCATACTGCCCCTGAAGCATATCTTTAGTGCTTGGGATACATTGGTAGAATTGTCTCTAAAGACAAATCTTTTTGCAAAACTCATTTCAGTGTCTGCCTCTCTAGATAAAAAAGACTCTCTCCCCCTGAAAACTAGTGTGGATCCAGTCAATTCTATGATAATCTCATCTGCTATTTATGAAAAAAGTCCTGTTGGATGTGCTCTGGGCCTCTGCTTTATTACCAAAATATGAAGTAAAACTGTAAGAAATTTAGAATGTAGGACAATATCCTAATCTCCTAGAGCTATAAAGAAAATGATGAGAACTAGAGCATGAATATGTAGTGGAATTTACTGAAAATGTAATCATTTTTATCATGTCTATTTAATCTCAATGTACCACATCACATAGCTCTTAACTTTACTTTACTTGCAGACAATAGATTAATGTTCTGAGTCATAGTATTTCAAAATTAAAAGAGGCTATGGGCTGAATGTTTATGGGAGATACAATATATTTCATGCCTGTTTTTCTTAGATTTCAGACAGCTGTGTGTGAGTAAAATTTTTCTGGCATCGGAGGCCTGTAGATGGCACACTTGTGCTGCAGTTAGGAGCAGTTCCTAATGAGCTACTGAACTGGGGCTGGGGGATGGGAGAGAGAAACAGGGTTAGAGAAAGAAAAAGAGACTGAGAGGGAATTAAAAGAAAAGCTTTTCTTTTGGATTTTAAAGCTTGCTTCCCACAGAAGATTCCTTCACAACTTTTTAACCCCTGGACTTCAATGCAACAGTCATCTCAGGGGGAAGAGAGGCAGCAGTGAAAGCAATTTTTCACTAAAAGAGCTTGGAAAGCAAAGCTTGAAGCAGTGAATCAGTGTTACCAGCAGAGTGCAGGGTTCCCCACCACAATGGGTTTTGAGAAGCTTAATGGGGGCTGGGAGGAAAGGCTGTTCTTTGGTCTCTGTGTGCCCCCAAAGAGCACAAAGCTTGGAAATAGAACAAAATATGGCATGTTACACTAGGGTGGCCAGATGTCCTGATTTTATAGGGACAGTCCTGATTTTGGGGTCTTTTTCTTATATAGGCTCCTATTACTCCCCACCCCCATCCCAACTTTTCACATTTGCTGTCTGGTCACCCTCTATTACACATATCTTAATATAGATGTGGGTGGCAGGATTGTAGGAAGGGAATGTCTGAACGTAGATTAGAAGTGCAATGTGGCTACTACTGTTCACAGCATTAGGGTTGCCCTGCAGTGTTCCATCCTCAGCACTCATCAAAGGGAGTTTGAATAGCAAAGATCTGCAGTTTAGAGCAGTTTTTGGAGAGCTTTGTAGATTTTCAGGATGATATTTAAAAATAACATAAAATTTGCAATGGCCACTTTGAGGCTAATGGGGGCTGGGGAGGAGGGAGAGAGCAGAGACCCATTGGATGTATTACGTGCACAAATTATTTCCTGTCTACACTACACAATGGTAAAAAGTTACCAGCTTTTCTGAACCCTTTAGGATGTGCAAGTAATTTCCCTTTTAAATATTAAGGAGTTGCATGAGTAATAGAATTCCAGCCTCTACCTGACTCTAAAAGACTTAAAACCCATCATCCATGGATAATTAGTCTCCCCCAATTGCTTTTGAAAAAATGCTATTTATTTAAATCAGTGCTCAAACCACAGTGCCTGCCTCATGCTCCGATGGGTCTCAGCAGCACACAAGAATACACCTAAGGCAAAGAGACAAAGAGGCAGAATCTGTGGTACAGTAATTCCATTGAATTCAGTGGCGTTACTCCCGGTTTTCACCAGTGTAGGGGAAGTCAGAAACTGCTCTGATGTGTTTCAGATTATGCCTTGCCTTTAAAGCAAAATGAGTTCACAGCTCAAGGTAAGAAAATATTCTTCTCTCCACCCAAATTATGTGCTAAAATATCCATATTTTGATTATCCATATTACCTTTTTAAGAATGTAAGAAACCAGATGTTATGAGCATGATTCTAATCTCAAATGGAGTAAAGCAGGTCTAACTCCACTGCAACCAATGGTATGACACCAGCATGCAATCTTTCAATGGTTGGAAAATGAAACCCTATATATCTTCAATTAGACTGTGTTCAGCAAGAGGAATCTGTTTTGCTCACACATTTTCAACGTGGTAAAGGACAACACAAAGGATAAGAAATGGTTACTTTGTATCAAGAGAAAAAAAATTAGGGAAGTATTTTTTCCCTAAAGATAAGTTTAAAATTAGCTAGTTCTATGGGGATGTTCAAGAACCAGTGTAATTATGAACAAGCTCTGCAGTGCTCTGCAATGTGCCGAATGCACCAGTTCAGAGAGAAAACTTCACCAGAGACTCAAGGACTGCTAGCAGCATGACGCACTATGGTTTTTAATTTAGTATTTCCCTCAGGATGGCATCATTTATCCCTGGTTCATCTTGACTAGCTACCGCCACAGGATCAACTCTGGCCCTAATCTTCATTTTAGTGAAAGTTAGAGAGTTTCTCTCTGTGTTAGGAGAAATCTGACCCAATTTTAAAGCTCCATGGGAGACGGAGGTAGGAGGCTTTTCTTACCCTGAGGCAGGTAGAAGGGCTGCTGACTGAAAGCTTTTTCAGATGCCAGGCAAAAAAAATTATCCCAATCCACAGCTCAGTTGAGGGGAAAAAGATCTAACAACTGTAACTGGGTGATGTTTCATTAAAGTGCTAGTAAAGTCTGACATTCTTAATCCCATGGTTACTTCTACCACAGAACCACTGCCCCTGGCATAAACTCTCATACATGGGAAGGCTCAGAGGACAGGCCCAAATCAATCTATTAGAACATTAGCTTTTCTAGAGGCCAAAATCCATGGCTGACTTTGAATGAAGGAGGTTTTTCCTCTCTTTGGGAATATGTGATAGAAAATATTCATCGAGACCCATGCAGCATTGTGCTCTGCCTCAGATTTGTGCTGCTGGGGAAAAAGACCGCACATTAGTTCTGTGGGCAATTTTGCAGTATGGTAAGAAACAATATACTTTAAAACTTCTTCCCCCAACCCACTTTTCTTGGGTGGATTACTGAATACTGCATATTTTCCCACGAAAAGTTAAAACGAATGCTAAACGAATGCAAAATGTCTTAATCAGCCCACATTGTTGTTTCTTAAATCTTTTTGCTGTCATTTCAGCACATGGAATCTCCATGATAGACAAAACTGTCTAAACATACAAGGAAAAGAGGTCTCTCTCTACTAGGCACTTCTAGAACCCCCACCATTCTAGTGTCTGAAATTCAAACTAGGGGCCAAATGTGGCTTTCCATATTTATGCTTCTAAATCCTATTGGGATTATGTTGGAGTGTCACACACTCTTTACACCAAAATGGATCTAGTCTGATTTCCTGTATAACATAGGACATTCCTAAATTAATTCCTGGTTGAAGTAGAGCACATCGTTTAGAAACAGTCCAATCTTGATTTTAAAATGTCCAGTGATGGAGAATCCACCACAGCCCTTGGTAAATTGTTTGGATGGCTAATGATCCTTGCTGTTAAAAATGTGCATCCTATTTCAGCTTCCAGTAGCTGGATCTTGTTATACCTTTGTTGATAGATTGGCAAGCCTTTAGAGGGGGAACAAAATTTTGCTATATACTTATAATCTATGACGAAGTCACCCCGTAGCCTTCTTTTGGTTAAATTGAACAGATTGAGCTCCTGGAGTCTATCCCTCTAAGGCAGGTTGTCCAGTCATTCTTGTGGCTCTTCTCTGAACCCTGTCCAATTTATCATATCTTTCTTGAATTGTGGACACCAGAACTGGGCACAGTATTCTGGGAGCAGTCACACTAATGCCAAATATAGAGGTAATATATTCTCTCTACTCTTACTTAAGATTCCCCTGTTTATACATTCAAGGATCACATTAGCTGTTTTGGCCACAGCATGGCACTGGGAGCTCATGTTCAGCTGATTATCCACTGTGACCACCAAGTCCTTTTCAAGGTCACTGCTTCCCATGAAGGAGTCTCCCATTCTGAAAGCATGGCCTGCATTTTTTTGTTCCTATATGTTTACCTTCACATTTGGCTGTATTAAAACACATGTTGTTTGTTTGAACCCAGTTTACCCAATGAACCAGGTTGCTCTGTATCAGTGACCTGACCTCTTCATTATTTACCACTCCTCCAATCTTTGTCATCTGCAAACTTAATCAGCAATTAATTTTGTTTTTTTCCAAGTCATTGATAAAAATGTTAAATAGCATAGGACTACGACCCAATCCTTGTTGGATTCCACTAGCAACACTCCCACTTGGTGGTGATTCTCTGTTTACAATTGCATTTTGAGTTCTGTCAGCCAGCTTTTAATCCATTTACTGTGTGCCATGTTAATTTTGTATTTTTCTAGTTCATTAATCCAAATGTCGTGCAGTACCAAGTCAAATACCTTACAGAATTCTAAGTATATTACACCAACACTATTAACTTTATCAGTCAAACCTGTAATCTTATTTTTTAAAAGATACCAAGTTAGTTTGACAAGAACTGTTTTCCACATATACACGTTGAATGGCATTAATTAATACCTTCCTTTAATTCTTTATTAATGGAGTGCTATATCAGCCATTCTGTTATTTTGTCTGGGATCCATGTCAGGCTGACAAGCCTATAATTACTTAGGTCATCGCATTTACTCTTTTAAAATATAGGCATAACATTAGCTTACTTCCAGTTCTTTGGAACTTCCCCAGTTTTTCAAGACATATTAAAAATTGACATTAATGGCCCAGGGTTCCCTGACCAGCTTTTTAAAAACTCTTGGATGCAAGTTATCCAGACCTGCTGATTTTAAAATGTCTAACATTACTATTTGCTCTTTAACATCCTCCTGAGTGATTGTTGGAATGGAAAATATCATCATTAGATGACATGACTGATAGAGATCAGAAAATTTTTTCAGACAAAGAATTTATTTGCCAAAAAATGCAGTTTTGGATGAACCCCCGCTATTAGGAAATTTGGTAAATGTTTGGCAATTTTTTTTCCAAGCTAGATTCACTGTTATACCAATAGAATTAAAACCAGCAGGATCTTATTAAGAGGGATAAGGCAAAGATGCCACATTTATTGTAAATATAATGATAAAGCAAAAGATAAAAGTAAACAACGTTGTTTTGACTACTTATTCCTATCACTCCTTATTCCTTATACACACACACACACACATACATACATATATATATATATATATATATATAT